GATAATATCTCCCAGGTGAATCCATCACGCTTCTGTATCGTTCTTTATCATGAAACCTGTGGCTTCTCTTATATCGACGAATTGACAGAAAATAGGGAAGAAATTCGATTAAATGGAATAGCTTTGGACTTTTCGTGAGATATTTGGCTCAAAAATTGTTCTATATCGTGTTTCTAGAGTGTGATACGGTTAATGGTAACAGGAGAGTTTGTTTAGAGAGCACTGAGGAGGATTTGGCAGAGTTTAGCTGGAATTATCCGATGCCAGGATTATAATTGGGACTGATGATTCCGAGCTCACAGTTTCGTAATGAAGATATATACCGGGGAACGAGCGCGAGTGCAGGTCCGACAAAAACGGAGGAACGTGGTTACTTTCCCTCGACAGCAACCTACCACAAATCCACCTTGTTCACTCATCAATCATAAGACAGCACCACCCAGACTTCGCGTCGCGAGAGAGTAACTTCGGCTCGCATGAGTGCCCCGGCACGTCTCACTTAAGTGCGTTCTATGCAAATTTGTTAACCCCTTAACGACCACCTGCGCATCCGGTATAAATTTCGTAATTTTCCCAATGTTAACCATAAGTTTACCTAGCACCTTTCCCTTTCAGTTTATGTTTCAAAATCGCTCGCCATTCTTTCCCCCGTGGATCCTGTCTTTCGGTTCACGGTCTGGGAAAATGTCTCGCGGAGATATGGAACTGTTTTACGCGAAATTGCACTGCGTCTGCTTGTCACTTGCGGCTAGCCGCAGGCGCATCGTAGCCTGGCTGCGTGCGCACGCATAATCAAGCCGCGACAGATGAAAATTACCAGGTGTCCCTTGGTCGAAACGCAGGGGAGGCCAGCCATGTTGCTCGCTGGTTAATTAATTAAGCAGGAAACGCTGACCTTGAGCATCCTTCGCCAGCGTTCGGTCGAGCATAGGCATCGTTAATACCGGGAAAAATCGCCATTTTTCTCTGCGAAATGGACAACTGTTCCTTCTATTATTCTAAGAAACCGTAACAAATAATTTTTGAATTTCCAAGATTTTTCGAAAGCAAAATGGTTGGAGAATTTCAAAAAATTCGAAGAAATTTTAAGGAAATTTTTATTCACTGCTTGTAGTTCAATATCGTGATATTTCTATCAAAGATTAATAAAAATGCGGGGTAATGAGATATAAATAGTAAGTAAATAAATAAATAAATAAGTAATGTAAATAAATTGTTTCGTGTGCTATATTTTGTCAGTGATCGTCAAGATTTGTCAAAAGATTGTGTTTTTTCGAATGAAATCTTGAGTGTCGTATATTTTGAGACCGGATATTCTATCTTATGAGACCCGATGTTCTATCTTTCCAGTAGAAAGCATCGATTTACTGACTTTGCTTTTTTCACGAATACCACTTGGGACATCTTCGTTTCTTTTCTAACTCCGACACCATGTTCTCGAGAGAACACAACTATCTACCACAATACCGCAACCCACTATCTTCCTCTTGTACCACTCCTCTCCAGGAGAAGGGTCTTTTACGCGGTTTGGTTTCCAAGCTTCGTAGCTGCAGAAAAAATAGACTGCAGAAAGGGAGCAACAAACCTGACACGACATTCCAGCTTTCTTCATCTCGCTCTTAAAACAAAGTCGAGAGTGAAGAAATCCTGACATTCTCTTAGGTAAACGTCAATTTCGCAGGAATTTCCAGATAAAACTTCATTCCCTTGATAGTTATTCCACATGGACGAACTCGACGACGCGATATACAAAATCCGAGCACTTCAGGACCAATCCCAGAATCACCCAAGAAAATAAATAATTTTAACCCTTTGCACTCGAGTAATAAATTTTTCAATTTATTAAATTAAAAAGTATAATTTTTATAAAGAATTTAATTTAATAAATTTACAATAACAGTAACTATTAAAAATTTACATAAATATTTTATCAAAATATTCCTTTTATCAGGCATATTATTATTTATACATATATATTTTAATGTTAAAGCATATAAAATTTTGAATTTTAAAGAATTAATTAAATTAATAAATATAATTATTAAAAAATCCAAATTAAATTTTAAAATTTCAATTTTATTCTTTTTTTTGTAAGGTGACTCTCAGTCACCGTTTGTTTCAATACTATAACTTAGATAACGAATGATGATAATTATATTAAGAACATGGAAATAAAATTATTCCATTCGTTCGTTTCACACGCAAATTCAATTTCGATTTTCTTTTGTTAGTTTCAGCAAAAAAGAGTATCAGTGAGCTTATAAAAATCTAAGAAGAGCTACGAATTGCATCTTCACAATTAAGAAATCTTCGAGTCCAAAGGGTTAATTAGGTTTCCACGTCGGAAGTAATTAATATTAATTTTGCCAAAAGCAATCACTATTTCCAACAGAAAAAGTCCAAAGAAGATCATTTTAACTCTTTGGGGCACGCTGGAATCAAAAGTGTCCCACCTTCTCGATGCACTGGAATGCATGGTGGGATATATTCATTCCCATTTCGAAATATTGCAATAGCTACATACACATAGGTTTATATTTCGTCTTACTTACGTAAAACAGTTAGTAATACCTTTGACAAACGTTATAAACGTATTTGCTCGTGTTGGCAACATTCAACGTGCCAGTACATGTTCATCAATTGTTGCACGCAGAAGGTTTATCGCGACAATCTATTTTTCCTGGTTTTATGTTTTTACATTATGCGATTCCTTAGATTTATTAGTAAAAATAAGCCAATCTTGTTTCATTTAAAACGCGACAAAATTTGTATGTGCAACATGGGTCTATTATCAATATATCAATCTATTATTAAACAATTAACTGGTAGTTTGGTACTCTACCGATTCACTTGTTCCCGGATCCAAGTAGTTCGCGCGCCCGCCGCCAGGGCGTGGATGCGCCGTAAAGCGAGCAACCGCTCTGGCACAGGCCACGTACTATCTGGCCACCTTTCACCTAAAACCCGGATCAGAGGCACGAACGACGAAGCGAGGCTTTCCTGATTTCACCGGGAGCAATGGTAATTTTCATAGTACGCGTCGGAGGGAGAGAGGGGGCGCTCGCGACGGGGAACGCCGACCGGAAGCCACGGTTTGTTCAGCCGTTGAACCTGCTCTCGTTTAATTCCGCTCACGGAGCGGCTCCGAGGCAAACCAGGGCTATTATATCGCCGTGGCGAGCGAGGATGACGTTACGTATCCCCGGGCTGTCCGCTCGGCCGATCCACCGACTATCTCCTGGTTCGTCTTTCTCTCGTTTCCCGATTCCCTCGTTATCTCCTCGCCGTCTTCGTTTCGCTCGTGACATCCTCCTCGGCCGCGTCGTTTGCTCCCTTTCTAACGCGCCGTTCGCTTTCCTTTCGCTCGTCCGAACGGAACCTGAACGGGGCCTGAACGGGGCCTGGACGGGGCCCGATGGGAACCGAGGAAGCGTCGAGTTGGGCCACGCCGGATTAACCCGCGAGGACCTCGCTGATTTCCACGGTTCCAGGGTACCGGTATACGCCGGAAGGGAAGCTCAGTTAGAGAGCTTCTTGATTTCATCGGCTGGTTCTTCCATCGAGCTACAGCGTTGGGGTTGGTACGCTGCGATGGGAAACCAGCCACGCTGAATGGGTTACGGCGAACACGTACCTCCGATGTACATGGTGAACCTCCTACACTCGTTGCACTCAGCGAGGGATGAGCATCGAAAACACAGTCCCCGGAAGTCTTCGCGGACATGTCTTTCGTATGAGTACATCTAACGACCTGGCCCTCGGTGTCTGAAGCGTGGGCCTGTTACGATAGTCCTACTGACGAGTCCAATAACAGGCCAGGGATCTCAGTTCTCCGTTTCCTATTTTCTCATCTAGCCTACGTTTAGAGCCTCTTTTCGAGATTTATAAGTCTAAGGAAGCTTCTACTTTGCATCCCCCATTTTTGATTATACTATCTACCAAGCGAAGAAGCTTCGTTCAACAATAAATCACAAGAGTAAGAGTTGGTACCTAGATTAACTCGAATGAAGCAGTGCATAGCAGCATCAGTTTACTCTACTCGGTTCGAGAAAATCGCTAGGATTGACGATTTGAGCAATTTTTTCTAGACGAGCATTTAGTCTCCCAACTAAATACTAGAAACGAGAGTTAGGCCGAACGCAGCGTGGTTGTAATTAACAGAAAAGGGAACGGACGCAGGGAACGTCCATCCAGTGAATGTTGCATTAGCCTGAGAATAGGAACGGAAGAATCGCAGCATCCCGCAGCGAGAATTCGTTACGCTCCCGTTAATTGCTAAAACGGGGAAAATGGCAGAGGTTACTATTGCGCAGCGGCGCAGGCACGGCAGGCTAACAACAATAATTCGCAATAAGACTGGCCGCTTCCTGGATGGCACAGGTGCGTTTCCTAGACGCGAGATTATGACGAGAGTGCAGGGGGCGATTAAACGAATAAGGAGTCGCGGCCAATAGGGAAACACTTGGCCGCCTTTTATAACGGCCAGTAAAACGCTTCGTTAATGCTTCGACCCGGCCTCGGGATCCTGTAAATTTAACGATTCCCGGACAAAGTACGCTCTAACTGCGCCTTAACCGGTGCACGCCCGTTCCTGCCACGGCCTTTTCCTATCCCCGGGGTCGTCGACGACGGATCGGCCGGTGACCGGATGGGGTACAGGCGGAAGATTAATCTCGTTGGGAGAGACGCGGAAGTGCAAGTTGCGCCCTCGAGGGGGCATTTCCGAGGTTTGGAGGTTCCGTTTGCGAGGCGTTTACGAGGCGACGAAATGACTCGGGTTCTGGGATGAAACTTGCACTTTAACGACAGGAGCGAATGGCCGATGGTAATGGATGAGGAGATACGGCGGATACGTCGCTGTTCCACGTCGCTAGGGTAGTTCTGGATCTCGGTAACGCAGATACGAGGACAATCTCGTGGTAACAGGGATCGTGTTGTTCGATAAAAAGAAAGAAACGAGAGAAGAAGATAGAAGACGAGAGAAGAGAAATGGTACTTACGAGTTAGAGGTAGAGCGTGCCAACACGTCGGGGTGCCACCACGGTGACAGCCAGACGTGGTCCACATTTAGTCGGCGGCAGTGGTGCTGCTGTGGCCGGCGGCGGGGTTTCCGGTCTCGCGCAACCAAGGCCACTTCCGCCGCGAAGCTCCCACACTAAATTCGTCAGCGAGCGCGGTCTACTCAGACGCCGCGATCTGAGTGAACGACTCGGTTGTAAATTCACGACATTCATCCCGATGCCTATGCTAGTCTAACTTAATCTACGGCGATTAACGGGTTACCTGCAAGATCCGTTCGTACCTCTTTTCCGGCAGCTTAGCACCAGCACCAGAGTCCCCCGACGTCCTTCCCCCGGAATGGCTCGAGTCCAACGTCCCGTCGAGCTCCATGGCCTGCTGCAGGTTCGTCAAGCTCTTGTATCTAATGTTAAAAAGCGGGGATCCACCTTTGTACCCGGGTGGCGTCTCTTTCAACGGCGACGCGCTCTTTTGCCTCATCAAGGGACGTCCCCTCTGCGTGCCGCTGTTCTTCACGTACAGCTTGGCCAGCGGCGGCTTCTCGACCCTCGGCTGAGGGGCCTCCTTCACGGCACGCCTCGTCCTCTTCTCGGCCTGAATCTTCTTCGTCGGTATGGTCTCTATGGGCGGCGGTTCCGGTCTGTCGTCCAGCAGAGGGGCAATCGTTACGGTGACCGGTGTCAGGGGAGGACTGGAACCCTGTGCCCCCGGCAACGGACTCTCGTAAGGCGACCTCACGCTCTTCGGCAGCGGCGCGAACCCGCGGACATAGTCGTAAATCTGATCGATCTCGTCGTACTCCTCCGTGCACGCGGATGGCGGCACACGGTTCTCGTCTCTGTAGCCCGCGTGTCCAGAGGACGCCTGGTGGCCGTTGCTGTGATAGTGATGGTGATGATGGTGATGGCTCGCGTTGTTCCGGTGATGGCTCAGGGGCCCGTTATCCGAATTGGTCGAGGATCGCCTGAGGAAACCGGAGCCGCTTCTGGTCTGCCTGGAAGGTTTGCTCTCGCCTAGTCGACCGTCCAGCACGTGTGCACGGTCAGCTACGTCGGCGACGAGGCGAGACGCGCGTTCCACCAGCCTCGTGAACTCTTGCATCGACCTCAGAGCTTCCTCGTTTCGTGCCTTGACCAGCTTCAACGGGGCGGCCAGAGGCAACGCCACGGCCGCGCCCTCTCTCTGCAACGGCAACGCGAAAACGTGTTCTTCCTCGAAGGTCGACAACAGCCTCAGCTCCGGAACGAATTGCGACGACGACTTCAGTCCCCTCGGTGGCTGGCCGTGTACCAGTCTGACGGTTAACGGCAGACGCTTGCTGAGCAACGCTCGGGCCGTGTGCACGCCGCTGATGTTGTCCTCGCGCGCCAGTGCGCTGAAACGTCCACGCTGCTCCATGCCCAACAGCACGCTCTCTCCTCGACAGTCGACGCAACGCAGGAATCTACCACGACCCGGTAGACTCACCTCGCCGGCTGTTACGATCGTTTCTCCGGCTGCCAGGGTCCTGGTTCCTTCCGGCACCACTATACCGGACTCGTCGTCCACTCTGCAAGCTATTCCGCGCACGGTTTCCCGCACCAGGGCCCCTTCTTCCGGGCATCGTCGACACAGCTCGCTCACGGACTCGATCCCGCGAACGGCTCTCCCTTCCTCGCTCAGTATTTCGAAGTAGCCGGCATACGAGTCCGGGATGGCCAGTCTGGGCCCTACGCCTACTACTCTGCGTCCTTCTTTGATCTTCACCGCCTGGGCCACGATCTTCCTTCGGCGCCCAGCGGACACAAGCAGGGCCGTACTCTGCAGACTGGGCGCCGGAAGCGTCGGCACACCCAGCCCACCGTACTGACCCTTCGTGATCTTGATCACCGCCGGCAGGCGATACTTGGAGACGAATTCGCGCAGGTACGTGGCTTCCTCGGCCCAGCGTGCCGCCGCAACCACGATCTGACCGTCAGTCGCGGCCATCGCGGCGCTACAACGCCGCCCAGCTTTCTCGCGAGCACGGGCCCCGGCGCCGACGTCCCCGTCCCTCGTGGAGGGCCCACTCAGGGCCCCGACGATCGAGTATCGCTACTGATGCTCCTGCTGATCGGACGCCGCGCCTCTATGCTCCATCTGTAACACAAGTCGATCCAAACATCAGTGATCATCCTTTTACTAATAACTATCTTATCCTATTCCACATTCCTCGCCTGGCAACGCGCGCCGATTAATTCTCGAAATCCCGTGTCACGAGCTAGCAGCGATAACTCTATCACGCGACCTCCATATTCGTGACCCGAGACGAGGTATTTAAGCTACTATAATTGCCATCTTCCTGTTCCATTTTCGAATGACCGAGAGTTTGAAAAAGTTTACAATGCTTGAATTATTCGATTGATCGATTGCCAAGTACGAGACGTGGAAAATCGAGCAAAGCGGCATTGAAACGTCTCGGAGGAACGATTGCGGATGGCCGATAAGGAATGCCTGGACGTGAGCGTACAACACGTTCTCAGCCAATTGAAAGATGCCTGGCCCAGCGACCCGAACTGGAACAACGAAACGGGCCGCGGCTGTGGGCCCGTTTCCCGTTACTTCCTCGTGGGGGCCCGGCGTATCATCGGCGTAACCGGCGATTAACGCGGCCGAACGATAGGCAGCGTATCTCGACGGCTGGTTACCTAACGAACGTACGTATACAGCTGGGCGGTGCCGTCGATTGTTTCGGACTTCACGAAAGTACGTACCGACGGCTAGGTAGGGGGCGCGACGGTCGTGACCAACCGATCGAGCATCGCGTTAGCAGCGATTCCCTCGGACGAATTGCTTCACGGTTATGCCGCGCGATCGCCACGGAAATTCCGCGGTTTCGTAACGCTTGGGAACGGGCGTGCTAAGACGGAGGTACCACGGATGCTTCCGTGTTACCTCGACGTTCCGTCCTGTATATCGGCTAGCCTGACGAATTATATAAATCGCGGTTCGATTCGGGTCGACTGCCAACCACTCGCGATGCCAATTATCGTTTTCGTTCGGCTACACCGCTGTGTTCAGAAGATTGCCGGGACAGCAAGTGGCGTGGTCCGAGGATTAGCGTGTAAGGTCTTGGCTCAGGAATTCTTCAGAGTTTCTCGATTTCGTCCAGCTTGGGAACTGTTCGAACGTATGCGAGTAACTGTTTTAATAGTTTATGTAAGGATCACGTAGATTTACGTTCTCCTGTTCTGATGATCTAAGACTGGTCACGTGAAATGGGTATGGGTCTGAGGGAGTGCGAGAGTGCTTGGGATTGACGAGCGAGTGAAGTGTTTCTGAGACGTGAAAGAGGAGAAATTGAGACAGTGGTAGATGAGCTGTTTTAATAGTTTATGTAAGGATCACGTAGATTTACGTTCTCCTGTTCTGATTCCTGTTCTCCTGGTCACGTGAAATGGGTATGGGTCTGAGGGAGTGCGAGAGTGCTTGAGATTGACGAGCGAGTGAAGTGTTTCTGAGACGTGAAAGAGGAGAAATTGAGACAGTGGTAGATGGAGGAATGTGGAAAAAAGAAAATACGGAAAAAATTTCCTGGAAGGACTTACAAACTCTAGCTCAAAGAGGAAGAGAAACGATACAAGATATATGTACCTATAATTACGAAAGTGGTCTAAGTCATCGAATTAAGAGGAACGATTTCATTATTTATTGCATTCATTTATATTACGATAAAATATATTTATTTTCTACAAAACAGTGAAGAATTGAATCGTTAGATTGAGTTTGTACCTTTATCGCAATTAACCCTTTGCACTCGAGAGGCGCCTTTCAGTCACCATTTGATAAAATTTCGAAGTTCGATATTAATTAATATATCAAGTTTAAAATAATGTAACAATGTGCGAGGTATCGAAATTAAATAATTCTACGCGTTAGTTATTATACGATTTCTTATTTACTGCTCAAATAATATCAGCAACCTTGTAGCAGAAAATTTTTCAACTTTTATGATTTATGACGTATCTAAAGGCCCAAGCTTTGAATATTTCAGAAGCAAATATAAGTGATTTAGAATAGTTTCATAATCACAGGCACATATATGTGTCCATTCTGTGAGCTTTCATTTCACAAAGGTGAATGTTATACAAAATATCAAGCTCTTAAAAAATACTATTCAACATTTAAAATATACCCGGAAGCAGAATAGGACAGAGAAGAAATAACCTGTACGTAAAGTGTTATCCTATTTGATGCAGACTGTAACGGATCTCTCCCCGAGACTCTGGGTATCAAGATGACGCAGGATTTGTACGTAGCCACTGTCCCGAATAAACGTGTTCAGAGCACGTTTGTCTCGAGCTTAACCCAGAGGCAGGAAAATCCACCTCCGCGTATTCAGGCAAGTGGTCTGGTCCTACAAACCTCGTTCTGTTTAAAAAGATCCACGGGTTTCCCTGGTGGAGGGAATTCCGTGAGATCGTACGCGCTGCACACCGACTCATCCTCGAATGCTACGGGCCCATCGGCCACGCGGAAGCGACGCACTGGATCCAAGTCCGGGGATCGCTGTAACGCCGCGATCCTTGCGCGCAATTTATCGCCTGGCCGTGTGAAAGGCCCATTCAGAGCGGCGAGCGTACGTGGCATGGATCGAGGGATAATGAAATCGCGCGGTGAAAATCGAGCCGTCTGAAAGGGGGCCTTCAAGATGGCCCGCAGCCAGCCGCAGATAAGCGCGGGGTGACCAATGACCCGGGGCGTCGTGACAGGCGCGCCTCTAGGAAGTTATTCGACACACTCCTCCTGTCCTGCATTCTCCTATCCCTCTGGTCGAACGAGAATCTCCAGTCGGTCTAACACACATAAGCTTTCACGGTGGATTTCTAGCGGGCGCGAGCGGCTCGATGCAAATTTGTATCGGGATTTTTTCACTCGGAAACGGTGCTTGCTTTGATCGAACGCAGGAAACCGTTAAGTTCCTTCGCCGGCGTGCGTGTTCCCGTGATAAGGCGATTACGCGATACGGGAACAGACGGATCGCATTGTATCTGATACACCGCGGCCAGAGAGATCCTCCTCTCTTTCGATCCGATGCCACGGTGTACCGTTCTCGAGGAATCTCCCCCTTTAGAACCAAGGAAGAGACATCTTTCTCAGGGATGCACGAGGATAAACGCTGTTATATGCACGGCTACCGGCTACGGATCGCGTAAATCGCGTTACATTTTCGCATCGGCAGATTTCTAAAGCGCCATCTTCTATTCTATTCTGCCTGAGATTCTAATTCCCTCGCTTGCAAATTCCTGTGCCATTATCTTCTTTTTGCTGCATATTTTTCCTTACTGCTGAAATTTTCTCTTTGAATTACATTTTACACCTTTTTTTGGGTCAATATTGTTTTTCTTGTTTTCCCTTTTTCCTGTTCTTTTTATGAGTACTCGAACACATTTTCTGTGCTTTTTGCTGTTTTTTTTTTTTTTATTTCTGGGAATTTCTTTGGAATTTTTATTTTCGAATTCCCCATTTTTTTCCGAATACCTTCTATCATCTTTCTCTAAATTTTTGAATTGTTTTGAAGTACTTCTTTTTTTCTTCTCCCAGAAGATTTTTGTTATTTTTTGGGCCTTTTCTCCTTTCAAATTTTGTGTTAAGCAACACTCTGAACTAACTAAGAGATATACAATACAAGTAGACTATGGAATTGTGTGCATCTTACATGCACAAGAAATTTAAAAGCGCAGAGAGAAGAAATGGAATTCTAAAAAACTCCACCACCCCGCGGGTGGTCACCCATCCTTCCATGGATTCAGACGACGGATATTTAACCTGAAATAGCCATCTGGTTGCGGCAAGTACCCCGTGGTAACTTCGCACTCGAGTCGACTATTCCTTAATAAGACATATAAGCCGTATAGTAATACACTCCTTACTGATGCTAGACGCTGACTTGCATTCATGACGTGCGTTATTTATCGCAGGTGCAGCACCGCTTGAACCCACTAATATTAACGAGATAATTAATAAATTAATCGAGCAAGCTTAATTCCTCTATTTACCCAAACAAAACGAATAATTTTCTTTTCCTTTACCCATTTCCTTTATCCTCCTTCTCATTTCCTTTTCTCACAGCAAAGAGACGATCGCAGCAACTTCGATCATTTAATCACCAGTATCCATCTTAAAAACCCGAACAACCGTCGTTATATTTATAGCTGGCGAAAAACGAAGAATCGAACGATAATACCGAATATTTCCTGCCAAGAAATAAAATATCGAGTACGGCGATACAATGACTGGAAATTATCACGGAAAATTCGAACAATGGTGGCGCAATCGGAGGGAGTGGGGGCGAATCAATGGAAAGACGAGATTCATCGGGCAGATACGAATCGTTTCTTGAAATACGATTAAAGATTCGAAGGTGGACTTTGTGTTCCGGGAGGTTCTCGATGGCCTGGCACGATACTTATCAGGCTCGATGACGATATACAGCACGGGAGACGCCTACGAGCGGGCAGGCGGTGTCGCAAACTCGGAAACACGGCGTCTAATCGTAATGTTTTATTGTTACATGGCCCTCGGTGCATGGCGAGGAATTAGTCCGCGGGTTTGTAGCCGTGGAACGGCATTCCGTGTATTACGGAGGTCGATAGACCGCGTTAAAATGATAAGCACGCGTTTAAGTACCTTCAATTTCCCCCTCCTTAAGCTCGAATAAAGCTTCCAACTACTGGCTAATAATTTATCGCCTTTCGTCTTGGCCACTCACTTTCGCTGCTTTTCTCTTTTATCCTCCTTTCCGGTTTGGGCTTTTAAACTCACGATATTGGATTAAATTATAGTGGATTAAGTTATAGTTGCGCCTAACAGGATATAATGTATTATTAATTCATTGTCAGGCAAATTTAGAGCATCTTACTCTGAGCACCAAGATTTCATTTCAACGCTAAAACTGCGGATATTTAATGGGTACCTAAAGTCGGCACAGATAATAGTAATTTTAGTAGTATACGGTAGATATGTGAATACATAGCGTGTCACAAAATTCACGCAAG